ATTTAATGGCTATGAACTCAATGAATCTTGATTTACTTCTTCTGATGCAATAGAAATATCTTGAAGTGAAGCAATAATTAAGAAAAAATTTCTGAAAAACTCTTGCGAACATTAATAGTAATAAAACAAATGATAGTTAAAGAATTTGGCCTTTAATATTTACGAATAAATCAGCATTTACTTAATATTCTGATAGTTTTCCATAGCTTTAAATATAATTTGCACCAATGGCTGAATCGAGAACACCTTAGATTTTAAAATTAACAAGTATTGGATTGATTGATACAAAATCGGATGATTAAAAATAAATTTAAAGATTTTAAGGGTAGTTGACATTTACAAATTTTAAATATGTTTAAAATAATAATGTGTCTAAAATTTCTAAACTTAAATCTATTCTTCCAAACAGCAACATTAATATGGAAATAATTCCTAATCCTAACATTATCTTGTTGCCGAGCTCCTAAAATGAATTAGCAGCTTACAATTGAGAGCTATCTAAAATTTAGGGTGTTTGGAGCAACAATATTTATTATGATTGTTTCATTAACATGTTATTAACATCAATGATAGAAGTATTGAAAGCAACAGTTAAATTTGGTTATGCTTAAATGGGTTGGAATATTGTAATTTTTATATTGAACACAGCAGGCACAAACTCTGCATCATTGAAATCAATTACTGGATAAACAGTGATATTATATTCATTTAGATCTAAATTATTTATTAGACAGGTTAATGAATTTGTAAAATTTTGGGAATTATCTTTCAATTTTACAAGATTAGAGAATGACAACTAGACATATTAATGCTAGTATGTTCGATTTAAATAAGACAACAAGAAAATGGTCATTGAAAAACATTTACTGGGTTCCTATTCATTGCAAACCCAACCTGTCTCTATATTACAATTACTCGAACAACCATCGTTATTTAATATGTTCCAATCATCACATTCCTCATCATTAGATAACCATCCATCACCGCAATGCAATTAAATTTTAACAATCTCCTCTTCTATTTCAGATTCATCTTCGTAATTGATGATTCTTTGGCAACCTTATAATGTTAATTCAAAACCATCTATGCATTCTTAACATATTCCTTCAATACACTTTGAGCAATTGATTTCACATTAATAAGTGCACTAATAGCAACCATCAAATTCAACATCATTTAAGTCTTCGCACTCTTCAAGACCTTACACAATTATGCCATCACCACAAATAGGAGCACAATAGGTATTGTCAATCAATTAGAAGTGCTGATTACAAAGCATGCAAATATTGGATTACGAGCAAAAGTAACAGTTTTAATCGCATTCATATTTACATTCATAACATCCATCATTATTCTCATAATTTCCATCATCACATTATTCTTAAGAATTGAATGCCTACATTCCATCTCCGCATATCTAATAACAATAATTATTTATTAAAGACCAACCATCAATGCAATCATAACATTAATTTTATTTACATTATCTACATTCCAATTAACAACTCGATTAGCATTTATAACAATCATCAAACTGAAAATTATTTTAATCATCACATATTTCACTTTACAGTATCACCCCATCTCCACAAATTGGATGACATTCTTTATTCTTTAGTTTTAAATAAAAATATGGTTGACACTCCAAACAAATATCAAACAATTATTCTTTACAATTAAAAATTCTATCAATGCTACATTAATGATAATAATAACCAAATATTCCATAAGATTATTGATTACAATCTAGTTATTTTACTTACTAAAGACCTATTTAATAATCATATAATAATGCATGCTAATAAAACCCCCTTTCCATAAAATTTATAATTTAATTATTGAACTCTGCTTTTTATCTTAATTCAGGATCATCGTAATAATTATACACATATACACACTTATGTTCTATCAACCTAAATGATTATAAACACTCTAAACATTTCCCAAATTTGCAGTTTCCACAGAACTTTGAACAAGAAAATTTGCATTGATAACAACCATCGTATGGAATCATGTTTCCATCATCACATTCCTCTAAATAAGTAATTATTAAATCCCCACATATTGGAATGCATTTTCTCTGTGATATTTAATATTCCCATCCTACTTTGCATTTTATACAATCTCCCTTTACACAATTCCTACATCCAACAACACAATCATATGTGTTAGAGAAGCAGCCATCAAATGCAATATTGTTTTGATCATTGCATATCAGCGCATGAGTAGGATAAGGATGAACGAATAGTTCAAAATCACTAACCCCTAAGGTTTATTGCAAAGCTGAATTATATTTTCCTGACCATGTAGAAATAACCTAAATTTATATAGTAGATCGTGAATGTTGATATTCTAAAATTTAGATCTAACTTAATGTCATTACATCGCAAAGATCACTGTATGTAAATACTTATTCTGATAAATTAGAAGTTTATACGAGTACAGTATCAATATAAATCTGAACAGAATGAGGATCAGAATTGAATGTCATTATTTTGAGTCTTAGACTTATATTATTGTGACTAGTTAATCGGATAATTTTGGTTAAATCACTGCTTGGAGATTTCAAATAGTTTTAGTCTAAAATTGATTTGATACATACCTAAACAAACTGCATATGTGTTCATATTTTGATCATTATAGAGCCAACCATAATTAGAATCAAAATTTATTGGATCTAATTTTCTCATGTAAAGGTTTTATACATAACATTTACTTGAATCGCAAATTTAGCAACCAGTTGCACATTTATATACCAGTAATTCAAATTCAGAAATTCCCCAGTAATTTTCAAACCCATTAATTATTATTTGTGCAGTATAACTTGTGTGAATCATAATCCTGGAAACAGAAGATATCCCATCTCCATAAGATGATCCGGATGTACCGCAAATACTTGGTTAAGTGTATTCAGACGAATAAGATTGAGAATGTGCTTCCACATTATCCACATATACTTTCAAATATTCTCCTCCCCAGTTATCAAGGCTTCACTCAATAATAAAATATCTTACTGCCAAAATTTAAATGCAACCATTATTTAATAATGGGGTGGTAAATTAAAAGTCTTGATTATATGAGTATACCTTGTAAATTAAGGAGAGCCTCCAAAGATTTTAGTTGATCCACAATATGAAACTGGACCTGTGTAGCTACCATAGATAAACCAATCTGAATATTTATTTCTTAAATTATACCATTTGAGTATGAGAAATCTCCGAAAAAATTTGAATATATAGATGTTTGTGATAACGCGCATCCAATTAATTGACTTAAAATAATCACTGTTAAGAATTCTTAATTAGGATTAAGGGGGCCTTTCAAATTCATGTGCATCTTCTGTAATATTGAAGTTTACTTCTAAATAAATAATTAATAGGAAAGATAATTCAGTTTTTATAATTCAAATTAATAGATCACTTGATAATTAAATACATTAAAAATACTTGAAGTGAGGGTACAACTAAAGATACACTACTTCATATGATTTCATCAATAGTAACTAATAAATGCCATTTTCTATGTTCTCTCCTCTACAAACTCAATTAAGATATTATAAACCATAATTATTTCTATGATAAATACTTAATAGAATAATACATTTTGATACATATACCAATATTAGTAAAGATATCATATTTTTATCATTATATTATACCATAGTAATATATAACCTAAGTAGATAGAGAAGATTTTAGAAATTTATAATTGATGGAAATTATGAAATTAGCATAATGGAAAATTATAATTCTAATTACTTGGTAAGGGCATATTAAATAAGCGAAGAATAATGATTAAGATCTTCTTTTATATTACTTAATTGAACAGTTTTTTATCTATCCTTTGAAAGCCACATTTGGATCATACATTTGTTAATGAATGGTGCTTATATAAAGGATTTCCTTGCTATTTTGATCAATAATTGTATTGAATTATTTAACTTTATAACAGATAAATAAAGATTATCTATTCAATTTCAGGTCATCAATGTTTCTCTAAATCTAAATTAAACATGCTTAAAATATATATATTGATAATTATTAGAATAATAATTTTATATCAATAACAAAAAATCCTAAATTATTGTACTGACGTTTAACTATCAATACATATAATATTTTCGATATTTTAAATTAATAGTTTGAAAATGGTCTTGAATTCCCTTGTATTTTTTATTTTATATATCAATTATCACTTTCAATATAAAAGCAAATAAAGGAGATTAAGAAATTATGGAAAAGTAGCTTTCATAGTTACTTAGAAACTCTTAGTTTTATATATAATTATTCAGATGAATAATTATGTTTAATTAAATATTGTTTTGCTAAATGGGTAAATTTAAAAATTTAAGATTAAAATTCTATATCACTCTTATCAAGCTAAATATAATTTTTTATACTTGAATTATGAACTCTTCAAATATATTAATAGAAACCTCGTCTGTGTTAATATATAGTCAATCCTTTATAAAATCTTAATCATTTCATTTTCAAACATAATTTTCTTCCAGTTTATAAAATTAAATGAATTGTATATAATTAGTAGTCTCTAGAGATTTATTAATTATTGATCCTTAAATACTCATAGAAAGTAAAAGTTGATTAAATAATCTATTGTCAACTTTTATTTAATACTTTTAAAAGACTAATATAATTATCAGTCTTGCTTCACAGAAAAAAATATACTAATTATTTTTAGATTATAACCAAAAAGACAAAATAATGTGGTAACGTGTTGTTAATTTATTTTAATATACATAATCTATTTTAAGTAATCATTGGAGAAAGGTCATTATCAAATAAATATTATAAAGTATTCAGGAAGAGTTCAAATAATGTCGAAATTTTACTTGAGGGTATTACGATGGTTTAGTTCACTTATCCGAATTTAAATTTTTATGCATATTTGTTATCTTAGAAGTAAATAATAGTTAATAAATACCGAATGAATATTTTCAATTATTATATAAAGTATAATAGAATAATCAATAATGATATAAAATGACTGGTGTTTAGATAAAATATATGATATTACAGGAAGACAAGGGTTTTATTCTTATTATTGGTAATTTGAAAAAACAACTTTTTAAATAAAATTCACAAGTAATTCAGAACTTATCTACTATCAATTTGGAGATATATTAAGGATGTAAGAGTAAACATATTGAGATAGAGAAAAAATAATTGATTAAAAGAATAAGCCCATTATCATGAAGAACTTGGAATAAATAAAACATCTTAAATGGGAAGGGGAGTTTGGAATTAATAATATATAGACTGGTAAATGGACAGCATTTTGGAAAGGAAAATAATTAGATGTAGGAGGATATTATAATGAGAATGGTTTGAAAATAGGAAATTGGATTGAATTGTTTGAAAATTATTGGGAGTACTAATTGTTAATTTAATCAGCTTCTCTCCTGTTACATATGTTGGCGAATATTAAGTTGGATATAAATAAGGAAAATGGGATACGTTTTATGAAAAATAGAAAATGTAATCGTTTACAAATAGACTTAATTTAGAGGAGGTGGTAGTTATTAGAATGGTAATAAAGTTGGTTTATGGATTGATTTATACGAAAATTATTATTGGTGATTATGCATAACATATTATTAGCTCATGTAAAGTTACTCTTACAGGAGAGTATCAGAACAATTATAAAATCGGTAGATGGGATACGATGTTTTAAAACAAAATTATGTATAAAATATTACTTAGAATTTTTAATATATAGTGGAAGTACTGATTATGATTAGAATGGACTGAAAAATGGAATAGGAATAGAAGTAGATGAGAATTTCTATTAGTATTATCAATATCATTAGTTTAAAGTTGCTGTTAAGTTATATACAGGGGAGAATATAAAAACAATATTAAGGTAGGTCGATGGGATACAATCTTTTTGGAAAATAACACAATCATGTAATAACTAGTATCTTCAATAATATAGTGGAGGAGGAAATTATGATATAAAGGGTTTGAAAGAGGGTTTGTGGGTGGATTTACATGACGGATTTAACATGTAATATATTATTAATTACAATCTAGATACTATAAATACATCTAAACTGGAACCTATTAAAATGGTATTAGGCAAGGCTAATTTATAGAATCATAATTATCTTGAATGATTTTATTTTGAAACAATTTCATTATTATTAATTACCAAAAAGTTTTTTTTAATTTAACTTAAATGAATTAATTAGATAATTATATTATATATATTTAAAAATAAATAACTACTACATCAATATAACAATTTTTCTTCAATATATAACAAAATTATAAAAATAATAAGTAATATACATTAGTTGTTCCTTTTTATATATTTTGTTTTCAAGTTGAAAGAGTTGTTCTAATTCTATAAGATTACTTATAGATTTCATTGTAAATATTAAATTGAGGACGAAGAGTTTATAAAATTTAAATCAAATTTGGCTTTAATTTAAATAAAATATTAAGATTAATTAGCTTCTGATGAATAAAATATATTTAATTTCAATTACAATTTATTGCATATAAAAATATCAATATATCTAACTTTTGTTATTCCATTAATGCTTCTCAACTTAGACTTAAGGGAAGAGATGATTTCTCAAATCCTAGAATCGCTTTGCAAAATGAGAATCTATATTGAGAGCTGTTGTAGAATTGGTTAATTAAGATATTTAGCCTTTAAGATTTCCAACAGTCTTCTACCTTGGCACATTTAATACTAAAGGTCTACCTTTAAGATTCCTGCTCTACATCATTCTATCTAGCTCATTGGTTATTTAAAAGTGAAAAGATGAACCTATAGTAACATATGATAGTTTAATGAGATATCTATTTGGCTTAAGGTTTTTCAGTTGTTTATGCAATTTAGCATAATCATTCAAACCATCAGTGATCAAACAGATACAGATTTTTTTAGTCTTCAAAGCATAGTTCTTCTATTCAAACTCATTAAATATATCAACTAAGCTTGTATATTATTATTGGGAATCAAATAAAGAAAATTTTGTGTTTTACCAAAATAACTTAATGGTTTTTTAAGGGAATTCTTAATTAAAATTCTTAATAGCTGAATCTATTTCATTTTTCATAGAGTCATTGTTGTCAAAAATGGCAACGACAAAATTCTCCCTGTCATCATTTTCTGGTCTAATTTGAGATTTAAGTGACTCAGGGAGAAAATCAAATTCATCATTGATCTCTGGAATTGCCATAGATTATTATATGCCAATGCCTGCATGAACTAATACATTATCAAGAATTTTATTAGCTTCCATTGGAGGCAAGGCTTTCTTAATGTGTCTAACTGAATCAATTTCCTTCATCATCAGATTTAGCTCCTTTAATAGATCATATGATTCTTCATCGACATTAGCCAATTAGACTCTTTCAAAAACTGAATCAAGCTCAATAAGAGTGGATTTATAGTATTCAATAAGAATTTCACGAACATCTTGCTATTTTTAATTTTGAGTGAATAACGACTTATATTTTTTTAATCCATTAATTATGATTTCTTTGGCCATTGTGATTTATGCAGACTCATAAGTTTATTCTAATTATTGAATCTATTTCCTTTTAGCTTGGGCTCTAGCATAACACCCAACATTTTTTAATTTTTTCTTTTGTATTGCATTAATATTGTCAGGTTCTAATTCTTTTCCATTATCACTAATTGATATCTATTGTGATATCAGTTAAATACTAGCAGAAGCATTAGGATCTGCTAATTTAGCTTATAAATCTGTTAAAGTATTGGGAGTGCATTGATCTATATCAACATCTCCATCTGCAAATTAGTTAACGATTCGCACAACATTATTAAACTGAATGTCAAGCTTTTACTCCTGTTCTGTCTATCCCTAATTTTGATTGTTTTATTTCGCTTCATTTACTACTTCATCAGAAAAATCCTTAATTGTTTAAAAATTTTCTAATGCTTTTTCATCAACATCACTTGCAAATAAGATCAATGCCTATTGAGCAGATTTCACTAATATTTCTTTCTTATCTCTTATATCATTTGAAGTTTCGATTGGTTAACCATTGATGCAAACTTACTCTTCAGAAACAAATAGTGCTCCAGCAGGTAAGGTATTTTAAGGATTAGAAATTAATGTCAATTTTACTTCCTTATCTGTCTCCAATATGTCTTAGTACACTAAAGATTAAGATCTAATAGTTTGAAAAGTGATGTCAAAAAAATTAAACATTTCTTCCTCTGTGCGTTCTGGGTTTTTATCATGATGATAAATAGGTTCAATAAATTCTGTATTATGAAGTTTTGCTCTCAATTGATTTGAGATTGTATTTGGAAACCATTTTCCTATTGATATTGAAACAAATTAAATTTAATAATTTCTTTCCTTAATTTTTTTAATCAGGTCTTCAAGTTCATCCAAAACGAATTTTTCATCGCCATCACTTATAAAGATAATTACTATATGTTATGGAAACTATTCAGACAACAATTTGTTTAAAACATATTTGAATGCTTTAGTAATGTCACCTGACCCAGCTGCCATAAAAGGCTCAAAATCATGGACGTCTTCTGTGAATTGAATTTTTAATTGTTAGTCGTTGAGGTCATCGAAATTTTTTTTGTGAGCCTTCAAAATCTCATCGTATTCAAAATTCATTGAACTTGTACCATCCAACAAAGTTATTGGATATGATTAAACTTTTTTGGACGAAGGGGCCCTTCCAATAAAGTTTTTCATAAAATTATTAATGTTATTCTGAAATATTGT